GTTTCCAGGTTAGGGAGGGTTTGGTTTTGTCAAGCTTCCTGGACAGTATACTTTATGTGTAAACATAATATTCATTTATCAATCAGAAGTTGTACAAAGAAGACTGTGTAGAATTCATGCATTTCTGAATATAAATATTAATATTCTACACCCCACCCATCTGCCAATAAACTCTCCTGACCCCAGAGTCTGTATATATCTCGCCTACTATCCCATCCACACTCTCCACAGTCCAGTGCTAGTGAGTGGCAGAAGGTGGATTACTTACTGGAGTTTGCAGAGTGGCTATACATTAATGAGTTCTCATTACAAGACTGTTTAGACCAGGTGGAGTGGGCTGTAGATGTCCTCCTTAATATGAAGATGGAGGTGTCCAAACCTAGTGGATCAGGTATGTTGTTATCAACCCCCACTTCCTATAAAAGTAGTTTAATCAGAAATCAATCAGAAATGTTATGGTCACTGTATTAGGTTACTATATTAGTGTACAATTGTTTGTTGCACCAATGATGCACCAGTGAATTAGCACAACTACTTGTGTCACCGCAAACTTTTTTCCGTTGGTTATATCGGCTCAGAAGGTACACTGATTCTAACATATAAAACTGGCATTGAAAACTTTCTTACAAAGAATGTTTTGGTTGGAAGATTAGGACATCATATTCGCTCTTACTATTACATCTCAAATAGAGGCACATGTTTTGATGAGATTTGATTTGAATTATTCATGCTAACTTGGTAACAGATCACTTTGAGTAGGTTCATGTGCTTCCAATAAAATATACATGACAACTTACTGTCAGAATATTATTCATGTACTTTACAATGTACCAGTAGGTGAATATGCTGATTGATTATTTGAATCTTGAATTGTATTTTAGTTGCCAAATCATCAAATATTATGGTCTATATCCCAGATGAATTTAATCATACTTTTTAAATTATGTTACTATACCACTTAAAGGGTGGTGGTCGTGACCCTGTATTCTGTTCGATATAGAACTAATAGTGACACACACAATACGTGTAAAATACATTATTTGTTTACATGAAATTTAAACATGTGCTGTGTGACTACCACCACCCTTTAATACTGGCAATGATTAAGCACACTCAACCCACTCTTCTCATCTCACATTACACAGCACATTTATTAATTTTTGTTATTTTGAACAATTTATGTTGTGCTTTGTTAAATTATTGTTTTTTTTTTAAATTTATTTACAATTAACTGAAATACTTCTTTAAAAAAAAGAAAAAGAAGTAATTGCAGTTAAAATGCCTATTAACCGGAAGAGAAAGGGCTATTCAGGTGACAATCGTCTGTCTGAGATTTGGTTTGACCTCTGCATGGCATCATCCTCTCAGTTATTCCCACATACTAATAGTAACATGAAATCCTGTCAATGGGTATTTTACTTTGCTTGAACGAGTTTGTGTTTGTGTGGTATTTTGAATTTATGTGCACTGTTCTCCCATCCTTTGAACAGAACCAGGAAAGGCTTGTTTTTTTTTTTTTGCTTTTAATAGTCATTAGTAAGGAAGGTTACAATTTGAATGATGAGAAAACATGAAAAATAATAACTACCGGTATGTTAAATGAGAATGTTTTCAGTCTTCTCAATGGTAATGGAGTCGTATACATATACACTATACATAAATACTGTAAATTATTCATTTTGTGTCACTATCAGTTTTCTGCGGTTCCATAATTTCAGGTTTTTGTGAGGACAAAATTTTACAAAAGTTACTGTGACTCACTGTCCCAAAGTAACTGCAATACAATTTTAAAAATTTTCTCTGACTTGTGAAGTTCTTAAAAATTAATTGCAGAATTAAAGCTGTTTACAGTATTTAGTCAGCTTGTCTAACTGGTGTACTGATGACTTCAAGGAGAAAAATATCTAATTATGTCTATGCACCATTACTGTTTATTTTTTGATGATGCTCTCCAAGATTTATACGTGGTGACTTCAAATCATGCTATTTGTGATGGAGCTGTATTTTATATTTTACATTGTGAAATAGATGATCATACTGCTTTAATAACCTGTGTTGCATCGTTTCTATGTTTTGACAGCTAAGAAAAAGAAAACAGCGAAAAAGGGCAAAAAATCACCCCGTCCTAGTTCTGCAGCACCATCTACCGTTACGGAGACACACACCGGGGCCAGCGAAAGCGAGGATGAATTCAATTTCGGAGACTTCATTCCTGTGAAGGGCAAAGCTGTGATTGGTGTTCCAGTAGCGAACACAGCTCTGACTGTGAAAGACTTGACCCATGTACGTCAGTTAGAAACGCTAATCAGGGCACACGTAATGCTTGCCAAGATGGCGGGAAGGTCTTCTTCATACCACGCTGATTATTGTATTTCTGCATATGGATATATTATCAGACTCTGGCAGGTCAGTTTAACTTAATTAAAATCAATTTTCAACTTAAGTCTTTCAAAATAATAACCTGCTATATTGAACAAAGGGAATAAGTAAATGTTCAATTTGTAGATGTATTTTTCTTCTCAAGCAAGGTGTATAGAGAAAGTTCTAGAAAAGGTTTCTTGTTTAGTTCATTTAATTTTCACCCCACCAGGTATGTCTGCCGTCAGCTGGCAAAGTCATGAAAGAGCTGGCCACAAGGCAAGCTACTGAACAAACCAACACAGGCAAGGGTTCACCAAAGGGTAAAAAAGGCAAGGATGGCAAAGGTAAAGAGGGAGAAACACCAAGAGATAAACCAAAACGTAAGGGTCCATTGGATGCCATACCTGCACACCTGATGACTGGGCAAGTTATGATGTACCAGATGAGGTAATGTTAAATAACGTTTCTGTGATTTCTAAAACTGTCATAGAAAATTCCTGTTCTTTCAACTCTATAATGTATGTATCTTAATTAAGCTGAGAAGAATTGTGCCATCTAGAGGCCAGAATCTGAACATTTGTTTGACTTTTGTTTTCAAGATACGAGAAGCTTTCAAGGAAGATCACAGTGCTCAGGGATTGAATAAAGAGAATCTGCTCAAACCTGTAAGTAAAACAGACCTTGTTCAGAACCAATCTTCTTGAATATCTGGCCTGATATTATAATGTTATTACAAGAATACAGCAAATTTTGCACGAAGGTAGTACAGGGATTGTAGAGACTGATACAACTCACTACCGCCTGAGTGCATACTTTGCGGTATAACCTTATTAATATAAATCTTTTTTTTGCTTGTAGTCATAATTTAGCACAAGATATAACAGGTCTAAATGCTAGTGAAATGTCTGTGCGTTTTTTTGCATTCAGTGATGTTACTCCAGTCACCTGCTACATTGTTGCTGTTTCTGATGTAAACAAAGGAAAGTGTTTGAATGTGACGTACATACATTGTGTATGATGCACATTTATAAGGAAGGCATACAAACACGTTCTTACACTGTCTTAACTGACGGATGAATTCTGTGGTTTTCAGTGCCACATATAATAATGTGTATTCACTTATTTATATTTGTTCATATTACAGATGTTAACATTACACTACTTAGATGACTTAGTAACTGAACTGTGTGAGCTTGGTTTCCATCATCTGACATTACCAGTGTTAGCTTTGGCTGAGACTGTTGCTCACGATACCTTGGGATCTAAATCATTAGCTGTGCTGTATCACCTAAAGTAAGTCAGAAAAAGTAAAAATAATGTGGTTTGATTTCAAATATGATTACCCATATAAGAGATCAGCAATCACTATGGCATGTTCCATCTGACTGCCTTTAGTGGTCAACAAACAGTCTACTATTTATTTTCACTTTCAGTCACCCTGAGCTTTTTTTTAGCAGTTCTGGCCTTGATATTGAATTTTGAAATCAAGTTCTGGTTTTGACTAATTCCTAAAAAGGCTGGATGGGTTTTCAGACTGAATTCATACTTTCTATGAACTTCAGTTAGTCTGCAAGGCGATCATATAGGATTTTTAAATCCTATAACTTATTAAAGGCAGGTGTGTCAGATATTTACTATACCTTTGTTTTTTTCTTAGGTCCATGGAGGTATGTCAAGAACTGAACCTGGCCTCAGCTGTGAAGTACCATGAACAATTAATTGGTGATATCAACATTAATGAGGAAGAACAAGCTAGGTAAGCTGACTTTACTAGCCATACAGAGGTGGATCCAGGTTTTGACACTGAGTACCACTAAAGATGAAATATTTGTTATACCATTTGAATTCTGGAGAATTATTTTTGGTAATTTCTGATACTGTATTGGCATAAGTGGGCGTATGCCTGGATCTGCTCGTCATTGATTTTCTTTCCTCTGCTAATTTAAAACTGATTTGTTGTGAAATGTACCACTAGAAGTTAACTTAAAAGTTTTAAATATAGTTACTAGTTGTGACACCATCCACATTGTGTTGATATCACAGAAACAACTTTTATTTGTTGTTTTTTTGTTTTCAGATCTCGTGAGGAGATCTCTAAATGGAAAGAAAAGCAAATCCAAGTACGAAAGGAAGAAGTTCGAGTGCAAGAATCGCAGAAACAAATTAGGTTTGATGAAAGTGAATCTAGGTTACGACAATCTAAAAGTTTCACACCACCTGATCAGAAGGTAAGATGTACATTCTAATGTAACACTATTATTTTAGATGCAAAACAAATCGTAATTCATAATTTTACATGTTCATATAAATTTATTCTGCTGTAATGCAATAAATAATCAATGCTTTAAAAGTAGATACAATTGCCAGATAGAAGCTGCTTGAGACTTGAAATCAGCAAAATGTATCATTACTGTTCATAATTAAAGTTCTCAATGAATGAATACAAGTCTCTTTACAATATAGACGGATATTAAAGAATCAGTAAAAGGATTAAGTATGCACCTAAGTGGTTTGAATCTGAGAAAAATGTGGACAGATGAAGCTGCAATCCTCATTAGATTGGTGAGTATCACATGAAACTAGCACAGACCTGTCCATTTTATGCATGTAGATTACACTACATGGTATGTGTGTTGATATATGGCTGATAATTTAATTTGCTTGCTTTTCTTGACAGGGTCATTATCAGACAGCTCGTCAGATGTTACATGAAGCACATTTATCAGCCTTGGCATTTGATGATGAAGTGATAGAGGCACAGGTGTTGTTTCATCTTGCTAGACTGTCATACCATGAAGCTAATATGGGCCAGGTTATTCAGTTGTTAAATCAAGCCCAGGTGAGTGATGTCTTCGACACGACCCCATTGTCATTATCAAAACAAGATACTTTTCATCATCATCATTTATTGTTATCCCAAAACAATAAGAGAAACTTTATATTTACTTTATGGAATGACTCAGGTCATTGCCACTTTGATTTTAGGGGATATTACGTAAAACTTTGTAGTGTTGATAAGAATAATGTCTCAAATAGCGATTTGTAAGTAAAAAAAGCAGTAATGATAACTTCTAGTATCACACGCATGTCTCCAGACTTGAAATGGACATGCTAATTCTTCCTTGTTTGTAATTTATAAATAAAGTAGATGCTAAAAAATTTTTTAAATATCTTAAAAGTCTTACTTTGCAACTTGTCTTAGTTATGCACATTATAATATTAAGTTGTAACGAGAATACCTCAAAGTATGCAAGTATGCATTTAGACATAGATTTTATTATACATTGATAATTTAATGAGAGATTATAGCCAAAAATGACAAAAACTATTTTGTTGCGATGTGAATATTTAGTGGTGAGATTCTATTTACACCACTTGCTACAGTGTTTCTGCATCCAATGTAAACAAGTGCTGTTACAGCTTTGGAATGAGTGCTGATGCAGCTTTTTATGGAGTACTGTGGAATACTTTATTTTCGCTGGAATTAATTTTCGCTGAAAAGGCTTTTGGGGCATTTTATATGGAATTTATTTTCACTGATTTTTGATGAGTTTAATGTGAACTATAGGAAAAAAGTATATTCGCTGGATTTTTTTTCACGAAATCATCCCTTCAGTGAAAATAGCGAAAATAAATTCCAAGCGAAAATAAAGTATTCTACAGTATCATGGTGTTTTCTGTGCTACATGGTAAATGTATAATAAAACTATGTATATTCACTATCTGAAACAGGTATTGCCATGTGATGAACTATTCTGGTTGCGTACAACTTTACTACTTGTCGATGCAATCTTGGGTGATAGTGAGAACTCAGAAAGATTCAACAAAGCCAGGGCCGTAGTACTCAAAGCTGTGGCAACATTTAACGATATTGCGCTGCAGAGACCCAATAAGTCATCTGTGGTCTTGTACATCAAAGCTACTCTAGAGGCAAAGTGAGTACTCTCAATTTATTATACCAGTACATTACATTTGGATATTCACAAGTTATTGCTGTGTAAATTCAAGTAAAATTATGTAATATTCTATCGCCAGCAATATCATTTCACAATACTGTAAAATACTTTTTTTAGCTGGAGTTAGTTTTCTTTCTTTTGTAATAATTTCCACTGATTTTTGATGGGTTGAATGTCAATATAGGAAAAAAAAGGTATATTTACTGGATTTTATTTTCACTGAGTCATTCCTTCAGCGAAAATAGCAAAAATAAATTCCAAGTGAAATAATAATGTACTTTCATAATACCACATGTTATCTCTGGTTTTTGCAATGAATACCGGTAACCTCTAAAGTGTCCAAGCAATTATATAGTCAGTGTAAAAGGAATGTATAGTGCTCAGCAATTCTGTGTCATTTTGTTTATTAATTAAGTATGCAAAAATGTCTTTTATTATGTATATTGTATTTTGTTTTGATATTTACGTACTAATATTCACTATAACTCAATATTTTATTGTTAATATTTGGCAGATATGCATCTATACAAGTTAGTCATGTGTTAGCAGAGAGTGGTAATACAATGAAAACTAAAGCTAACAAGGAATTGATGACAGCATGTCAGGTGTGTATTATTTAATCCCAATCTTGTACATCTCCATTGCTCATTGTGAGAAAGAGAGTAATCTAACCAGTAGTATTGCAATATACCTCACAGTTTTGCAAAATAACAATATTGTAACAGTTAATAACAGTTTGTAATGGTAGGCTGAGATCTATATTGCTACATTGTTAACAAAACAGTGAGTTGTATTTCAATATTGTTGGTTGAGTTTCTATTTCGTTAACAATAATACTAAATAACAATAAATTATATTGCAAGCCTTTGTGAAAAGCAAATTAAAATGAAATTTGTTCAATGTAATTGGTAATTGTGGGCTATTTGTAAATTGATAGAAACAGAAATGTATGGCAGTCTTTGAAGCACCATTGTATTAACCTTTTCACCAGCAACTCCCTCTTTTCAGCACAAATTCAAGAAATAGTCCTGTTTATAGTCTGCACTTTCCTTCAGAAGATTGGGACAAAAATAACTTTGAGTAAAAACTGAGAATTGACTCAAATTTTGTCTGTTGTCTCCAAAAATAGGATTCATAACTAAAAATATTGAAGAATATAAAAAAAATAGTGCAGAAAAATTTGGGCAAGAAAGTCTGGTGGTGAAAAGGTTGCACTTACCTTGTCCTATATATTCTCTTATTTTGTAGAGATTTCAACAAAGTGTCGATCAACTGCTTCATTGTGGTCATCATCGAGATGCCATCAAAATACTTCAGCAGCACGCTGGTGTGCTCCGACTGTTTGCATGTGATTCTATCGACAAAGAGCAGCAACATGGATTCCTGTTACAGGCCAAGAAAATCCTGCATAAAGCTGTCAGTGTTGGCGATGAGATTTTACAAGATGTGGTCACTCTGTCATCTTTGCAAGAAGTAGGTGTAATAATGACTCTCAAATGTCCATGCAATGTAGATACATACAGTTATGTCCCAATAAGAGAAATGTACTAATTTTGTCTGACATTTTCAACCTCCCTGCCCATTGGTGTTCACATGGGAAATGTGTCAAGTTTCTACTTTAAGTGGTTCTATGTTTATAATTAAAAAAAAGATGAAAAAATTAGAATAAATATGCCGTATTTTATAAATTATGTTGTCCTAATTTTTAAAAAAAAATTAGATTCAATATTATTCATAGTTTCAAAACAGAATTCATTCACTAGTAAACAAATTTACTCAAAATTACCTAAATTTTCTTTAATTCTTTCTAGGATTGGGTACAGAGTTTACAAATTACTTTGGAAAATACATTCTATTCTTTCTTTTTTTCAATAGATGCGTAACATGAGTCTGCCGTTGCAGAGAGAAGTAGTTGCCATCAAGATAACCTATGCTGAGCTGTTAATTGATATGTTTGTTATCTATGCAAATGAAAAAAGACAACATCAGTTATCTGAAGCTAGGAAAGCATCTATCATTAAGGTACGTGTGAACATGTATTAAAATGAAATTAATTTTTCTTCTAAGAATTATCATTGTAGCTGGAATTTGTCTTGTCTGGAATGTGATTTTCATCATTATTTGTTTCTGTCTACCTACAGACTGTAGAAGAGTTTGTGTCTGCCACACCTGTACTCAGCAATGTGAACAAAGAATGGCAGGATACTGCAAGGTGTGTAGATTCATTCCTTTTGTGATATCATTTATATCATATTAAAATCACACGCACGCACTCACAGTACAGTCCAGGTGTGACTTAACTTCCAAGCTGGCTTTACATTTCCATAAAAAAAATATATTTTTTTTTAAGTTAGTATCATTGTCATAAATAATTACAACTTATTTTTTGTAATGTTTACCTAAGTTACTATTATGAGAAATATGAGACATATTTAGGCAGGTTACTTTCAACAATTTAGATATGTGGAGTTTTGAAAGCAAGCTAAGGTAGATTTAAGCCAGCTAAATTAATCAGTATGAGCTCACTGTTATTAAAATCCCCCAAATTATTTTTTTTCACCCCATACTGCTCTATTAGAGCTCTTCTAATAGAAGATTGTGTATGTATAATCAAGAAACATTGCCTTCAATGTGTTCAATAGTTGATGTATTTACTCTATTGTGTTTTCAGTTGCCTAGGTGAGATGGCTCTACTACAGCTAACTAGCTCTCACAATATGGCTGCTTCCATCACTGAGTTGAAAGCAAAGGTAATTTATTAAAATTTAGTATCAGATTCATGCTGTCTTCTATTTTTAGCTCCGCTGTCGACAATTCTTTAATTTTGGTGAATATTTTTTGTAATTTTTGGTAAAAAGTGATATTTTCGACTTCTTGTTAAAAACCGCAAGTCCAATTGCTTTGATATTACACATATAAATGCTACATGTAGACCTTTCTCAGATTTGTTCATTTCGTGATGATATCTTTAATTCTCTAATTTTGATGAATATTTTTGTAATTTTTGGTAAGAAGTGATATTTTCGACTTCTTGTTGAAAACAGCAAGTTCTATTGCGTTGATATTACATATATAGATGCTACATGTGGACCTTTCTCAGATTTGTTCATTTCGTGATGATATCTTTAATTCTCTAATTTTGATGAATATTTTTGTAATTTTTGGTAAAAAGTGAGTCAGGCTGCTTGTTTAAAGAATAATTACTATTATTTAGACTCTGTGATATGCAGAAATATATATATACAGTATATAAAACTACAGTAATGGAACATTTCCTTTTTTTGCCATTTTGGATGTTTTATATTGACAATTGTGTTGCTCACAAATTTAATGCAGCAACTGCCAACATCACCATGTAAATTGATAAAATTGACATATTTGTTTTATTTGTTTGTTCAGAGTTTGTATAACATTGGTAGATGTTTACGTATGCTAGGTTTACATGCAGCTCCTGATGCAGCAGCTCAGTGGGACGTACATGATATGGTAGGTAACTTAGTACCTAATATGGTAAATATAGCGTATTGACAATATTCATGAACTTGTCACTGTGCTATATAATATTCAATGCGAAACGTATTCCATTGCCAATTAGACAAAGTAGTGTACCTTCAATGGTTGTATGAAGATGCTATAGAACCTGGTAATGTAGTTGGTCTCATGTATGAATCTCTTGTGATATTTACAGCCAGTTTGATGCACGTTTCATGTGTTCATAGAGCATTTCCTTGCTTATCTTACATTAGGGAATGTTTTAGCACTCTTATCAGTGATTTTTTTCTAAAATTTGGGAATGCTGGTAATGCCACTAGTAATATTTTTGACTGCTGAATACACAGTTATAAAGTATTATATTTTAGACCACTTGTTATAAGACCTAGGTACAATTTATTATTTTAAATATAATCTTTAAAAAGCACTGCAGGTAATGTTGGTATTCAACCTGAGAGACTAGATTTAAAAAAGAAATACTACATGTATTTCAGCATTTATCACAGAGTGATGGACCACCTGTTGCACCTCCACCAGCTCCACTAGCAGATGTACATAAATCAGGCGATGGTAGAGAGAGTGTCGGTAGTGGTGTGGAGGCCGAACATTTAGACGATCAAAATGACTTAGACGCTAACTCTAAACAGTACATCAAGTATTCAATGATAGCAGACAAGATGAAGGTGAGGGATGAATTAATTGTTAATTAGAAATTACCTAATCGATCAACTAATTAATTTTAGTTAATTAATTAATGTGGAGATGTATTGTTGCTATATATTGACTTGTTTTTCTATGTTACAGAGTGACCAAGCACTATGTGATCATTATCTAGCGCAGGCCAGTGAAGTCCTCAGTCAATGTGTTCACCTTGCCTTACAGAAAGGATACACAGTAGGTTGACCTGATTATCATTCACAAAGCTTTTACCTGAATCAAACTAATTTCATTTGCAAAACTAACATTCATTATTTGATGATTGCTATACTGTAATATATAAATGCATACTGTACATATAGTGTTATCAGGACATGAGTTGTTGTAATACAGTAGCTTGTATGTCTTATTTATTCCATCATGTTCGGGTTTCTTTTCTAGGATATTGTATCAGCAGCTTGTTTAGAAATGGTAGAGGTTTGTGGACAGTTTGATCCAAGCTCTGCCACTCAATACTTGGCAATTTATCAGGTGAGTGAGGAACCCTTT